CTCGCTGGGGGGGGGGGGGGGGCGGTCGCTTTTCCGAGGCCGTCGGCGTCGTCACCGCCGCCGCCGACATGCTCGTCCTCCAGGACGGGGGATTCAGTCGTCGTGCTGCCGGGAAGGAGCGCTGCACAAGCAGGAACCTGGCAAGGTGGCACCAACACCACGCAGGGCGAGGAGATGCGAGGAGGCCAGGGCGGTTTCCCTGGTGGTGTGGTCCCCCCATCTCGCTCGAGACATCTCCAGCCTCCAGCTCATGTTGCCAGGAGGATCGCTGCACAAGGAGCGAGGATGATTCATCAAAAAATGGCCCCTAACTCTTTAGGAGGGGACCTAGGTTAGGAGGACCAAGAACATGAGGGATAAGGGGCGCTTTGTGCAGATGTCACGAACCAACCCGCCCAGAATTATGATCCCCCATGCGAAGACGGGGACCTCAGTCAGGACACGTCTTCAGTGTGCTATTAGGATTAGGGGTTGTTTGATCCTCGATGAGAGGCCCTTCTCGCCACGGGGATCCTCGGTCACGAGGCGGCTTCCCTCTACCTGGATCGGAGCAGCGGCCCGGAGAGAAGAGCCCCTCCTGAGCCAAAAGATGGTCCATCTTCCGACGTCTCGGAGGTTCTCGAAGCTCTGAAGCGCTCCTGGGGGCCCCAGGGGGTCCAGGGAGGAGCAGGTGAAGGGACAAAGAGAGGAGCGGGATGGGGAGGAGCTGTCTAAAGGTTCCCGTGAGTCCCCACAAAGGTTTCCCACTATACTATTCTGAAGAGTTGCGACGTGCATGTGGCACCGTAAGGATTGGTAAAGCAATGGCAGCTATGAACAAGCCGAGGACATGAAACGGCACTGGCGAAGAGACGGTGGTTCCAAGCCGAGGCGAAGCGCTCGAGGAGGCTCGCGGGACTTCTCAATTTGGGAGGAGACGCCGATCGCCACAGCAACCCTCGCGTGAGAGAAGGGCAACTGCTTGGCACTCGTTTACATTCACGTGTCGTTCTTGGTCGTGCAATGCGTCGATGGGCTCACGGTTCCGCGCAAGACGAGCGGGCGCGTGGAGAATTGTGTTGCGAGGACTGACCTCGAGGCATGTACTACTGAGGGCGATCTTGGAAGCCGCCAAGCTGGGCAGAGATCCGCTACCACTGGGACTCGAAGGCGACCAAAGTCAACGTGGCCCCGCGCGGCCAGTACCACGTCGAGGTGCTCGTGGGGGCAGACGACGCCATCGAGATCACGGTCGAGAACCTCGCGGCCGTGCCGGTGGGAACCAGAGTGTAGTCGGTCATAAAATTGTGAGGGCAGCCGCTTAACGAGTTCCCCATGAGCCGGACATCCGCGGCCATGAAGGACGAGAGGCCGACCTCGGCAGCGAGGCTGCGCGGCGAAATATGATGGCAACTCGGCGCCGTCATCGAGGCGATCTCTTGCCAACCTTGCAAGTATTCGATGTGGACCGCGCCAAAGCGCACGGGTGCAGCACAGCAGCAATGCCACCCCCTTGGGATCCGTTTTTTCCCCAACACCCTGTGGTGTTGGGTCCTCGTTTTGAAGAGACGTTCCCCGCGGTGCCTCCTCCTCCTCCTCCTCCTCCTCCCGCTGCCCCCTCCCTCCTCTCATCAATGCCTCCGCTCTCCGCATGTCTACTATTACGGCACGCCCCAGAAACACTGGCCCCACAGGGCGCCTCACCGAAGGCCCCAGTGCTACCGTCCACATGCGTCCGCCACACCATTTCGGCATACCCCTCACGAGCTCCACCGAAGGCCCCAGAGGCACCGCCCACATGCGTCCGCCACACCCCTTTCGGCACACCCCTCACATATTTCGTGGCCCCATAGGGAACTCCACCCAAGGCCCCAGAGGAACAGTCCACATGGACCGCCACAACCATGTCGGCACACCCCTCAAACGTTTCGTGGCCCCATGGGGAGCTCCAACCATGGCCCCAATGCCACCGTCCACACGCGTCCGCCACACCCAATCCGGCACACCGTTCACACGCTTCGTGGCCCCATACGGAGCTCCACCCAAGGCCCCAATGGCACCGTCCACATGCATCTGCCACACCCATTTGGGCACAACCCTCACATATATCGTGGCGCCATAGGAAGCTCCACCCAAGGCCCAAGAGGGACAGTCCACATGCATCCACCAAACCCATTCCGACACATCGTTCACACATTTCGTGGCCCCATAAGGAGCTCCACCCAAGGCCCCAATGGCACTGTCCACATTCGTCCGCCAAACCCATTCCGGCACACCGTTCACACATTTCGTGGCCCCATAGGAAGCTCCACCCAAGGCCCCAGTGGCACTGTCCGCAAGCGTCCGCCGCACCCATGTCGGCACACCCCTCACATACTTCGTGGCCCCATCAGTAGCTCCACCCAAGGCCCCAGAGGGACAGTCCACATGCATCCGCCAAACCCATTCCGGCACACCGTTCACACATTTCGTGGCCCCATAGGGAGCTCCACCCAAGGCCCCAATGGCACTGTCCACATGCATCCGCCAAACCCATGTCGGCACACCCCTCACATACTTCGTGGTCCCATAGGGAGCTCCATCCAAGGCCCCAATGGCACCGTCCACATGCATCCGCCACACCCATACCGGCATACCCCTTACACGTGTCGTGGTCCCATAGGGAGCTCCACGGGAGGTACCAATGGCACCGCCCACATGCCTCCGCCACACCCATGTCGGCACACAATTTGCACGCTTCGTGGCACTACAGGGAGCTCCACCGAAGGTCCAAATGGCACCTTCCACATGTGTCCGCAGCGCCCATGTCGGCACACCCCTTACATGTTTCGTGGCACCATCAGGAGCTTCACCCAAACCCCAGAGCCACCGTCCACATGAGTCCGCCAAACCCATTTCGGCACACAACTTGCACGCTTCGTGACCCCATAAAGAGCTTCACCGAAGGCCCCAGGTAGCACCGTCCACATGCGTCCGCCACACTCATTTCGGCACACCCCTTACACGTTTCGTGGCCCCGCAGGGAGCTTCACCGAAGGCCCCAGAGGGACAGTCCAAACGCATCCGCCACACCATTTCGGCATACCCCTCAAACGTTTCGTGGCACCATAGGGAGCTTCACCGAAGGCCCCAATGGCACCGTCCACATGCGTCCGCCACACCCATTTCGGCACACCCCTCACCCGTTTCGTGGCACCATAGGGAACTCCACCGAAGGCCCCAACGGCACCGTCCGCATGCGTCGGCCATACCGACTTCGGCATACCCCTCACACAATTCGCGGCCCAATAGGGAGCTCCACCGAAGGCCCCAATGGCACCGTCCACATGCGTCCGCCACACCAACTTCGGTACACCCCTCATACGCTTCGTGGCCCCATGGGGAGCTCCACCCAAAGCCCCAGTGGCACCGTCCACATACGTCCGCCACACCCATTTCGGCACACACCTTCCACGTTTCGTGGTCCCAAAGGGAGCTCCACCGAGGATGATACTCACGACTGGGGTGCTCACAGTTGCATACGGTTGGGTCCTTTGCAAGGCGAATGTTGTTTTTTTCCAAACCGTCCTGTGGTGTTGGGACCTCGTTTTGAAGAGAAGGTTCCTGCGTTCCTCTCCTCCTCCTCCTCCTCCCCCTCCTCCTTTCTCCCCCTTCCTCCCTGCGTTTCCCCCCCAAAAAAACAAAGTTTCGCGGCCCCATTGGGAGCTCCACCGAAGTCCCCAGTGGCACCGCCCGCATGCGTCAGCCACTACCCAGTACAGCGCTTCGTGGTCCCATAGGGGCTCCACCACAGGTCCAAGTGGGACTGCCCGCATGCGTCAGCCACCACCCAGTACAGCGCTTCGTGGCCCCAAGGCCCTCTGCTGGAAGAGAGGAAACAGAGAGAGAGAGAGAGAGGAGGAGGGTGAGGGAGAGAGAGACGCCTTGCACATGCAAAATGCACTGTCGAAGGACCGACAGCTAGGCGTACGAGTATACGTAACACCCCGCATATGCGGATAAGAGGGGGCGGTGGGGACGCCGGCAGTCTGTGAGACTCTGGAGAAGCCGGCCGTAGGCGCCAAAGTTTCACACATTATACAACGAGCCTGGCGCAAGCGCCGATATTTTCTTCGAACCAGTGTGGATCGGTCGCGGGTGGGTCGCGGGGTGGGCCGCGGGTGGGTCGCAATGGGGTCGCGTGTGGGTCGCGGGTGGGTACCAGATGGGTCGCGGGGTGGGTCGCGGGTGGGTCGCGGGGGTCGCAGGTGGGTCGCGGGGTGGGTCGCGGATGGGTCGCGGGTTGGGTCGCGGGTGGGTCGCGGGGTGGGTCGCGGGGGGGAACACGACAACAAACAACAACAACAACAACAACAACAACACCACCACCACCACCACCACCACCACCAACAACAACAGCAACAGCAACAGCAACAGCAACATCAACAACAACAACACCAACAACAAAAACAACAACAACAACAACAACAACAACAACAACAGCAATAACAGCAGCAATAACAACAGCAATAACAACGACAATACCAACACCAACACCAACACCACCACCAACAACAGCAACAGCAACAGCAGCAACAACAACAACAACACCAACACCAACACCACCACCACCACCAACAACAACACCACCAACACCAACACCAACAACACCAACAACACCAACACCACCAACAACAACAACATCAGCAACAACAACAACACCACCACCAACAACAACACCAACAACAGCAGCAGCAGCAACAACAACAACAGCAACAGCAACCGCAACAGCAACAGCAACAACTACACACATACTTTTGAGACGGTTCGCCCTTATATGCTCGAGTGTCCACTAATGCGTATTTCCCAAACCCTCGATACCCGCCCTCTTCGTCTTCGATCGACCCCCTTTTGGGGGGCATACCTTTCTTCCCTGCAGGCCGGGCCCCGGCAAGCGGCGGGGCGGCCGCGGCGGACCGTCGGCCTGGTCAGCGGCAGCGCTGATCGGCGGGGCGGCCGCGGACCGTCGACCCGACCCCAAG